TCATTTTTTAAATGACGTAGGTCTTCACCTAACATCTGTAAAAGCTTCTAAAGTATTCTGGGGGGTGGAGAGGGAAGGAATCCGGGGAGCTTTGTAAGTTTAAATGGTATAATGAAAAATAGAAGCGGTGAAAGATTCAGTTAACCAACACGCAGCATTCTGAGCTGTACCACTCAGAACTACCATTCTGTAACTGTACGCTTGTTTACCACAGCTCACAAAGCAAAAAGACAACAATTGGGCTTTTGTTTTGTATTTAAAAAAAAGAAGAAGAAAAAAAGCCGTTAAGAAAGTCAAAATTCTCAGGAAGATGTTGATATTTTATTTCCTAGTAATGAAACCATTGTGTCTTCATTTTGTGCTGAGACAGAGGGATCATCGCTTCCCTTAGCCTCTTCAAGTATGTTATGGTGCCAGCCATTACACCTACCCCAGCAGACTAGAAATAAATAACAGCAGTTTAAGACGTGCCCTGATGCATCCCTTCCTAATAACCACCAAATGCACTGAATATCCAATTCAGATTATAAAATACAGAGAAAAGCAAAACAGAATTTGCCTGCATTTCCAAGTAAAAGCAGGGCGGAGATATAATTTTTAGGTAAACAGAGGCGCACGCTGAATTATGTCACGCGGTTACAAAACAGCGCGATCAAGTTGCAGGACCTTAGATGGAGACGCTCAACGTGTGCCATTCTGTGCCACATCACCACGACAGAGCGCAGTCAGGACACAGGACCCCTCTCCAATCTTTTCCCTGAAGATAATCTCAATAAGAAACCAGTTTCAAGCTCCCCTACCTAGAATTAGGCAGTAGGCGGGACGGGTGAAAATGGGATGGATGCCTTCGCAGATATCGTGCACCACAGGAGAAAATTAATCGTGAGGCAGTCCTGACAGATTCACCTGACCTGCACCCATGTGAAGTCTTGAGAAACATTAAATAACGAGGGCCGACACTGGAGAGCACAGTTCAAGCTTTCAGGCCGATTTTGCACAAGCACAAGTTACCTTCTGGTTGCACTACAACTCACAGGCGGCTCTTCAGCTACCCAGCCGAATTAGGAAGCCACCATTACTGTTTCAGTTTCAGCGTGAACTTCCAAGTCTGTGTTTCCAAACAGGAGTAAAAACACGGATAACAGGAAGGATCGTTAACAGATTAAGTTTCAAAACTTGCCTGAAAAACATCCCCCCGGAAAACAAAAAATAAAACTAAGCTCCGAGAAGCGTAAAGGCCACCCTGCAAGGAGAATTTACCAGCGGTTTCCTACGTGTTTACAAACGATACCGCAGCTCCCGACTTACAATCAGCTCGCCGCAAAGCTGAAGCTGTGCGCACCGCTATTTATACGGCCGTGTGCTGGGCAAGTCCTTGGGGACGGGGCCGAAAGCTCTCCCTCCAAGCCCTCCGTGGCTGCTTTTGCTGCCAGGCCGGCCGAGGAGGCGATCCCGGCCTCCCGGTGCCCCCTCGCAGCCCTCCCGCTCTGCTGGGAGCCTTCCCCGAGGATTTAGGGTTAGGGGCAAACGGGGCGCGGGGCTGCCCGGGGCCGGCACAGCTCGGGTCGTGCCGCCACTTGTGCTTGCCAAGGTTCGCCTCCCGGTTCTCCTTTGCCCCAAAAAGCACGGCTCCCCCCTCCCTAAAAAAAAAAAGTCTTTTATTTTCCGTCCCCCTCCGGAGGGAGCAGCGGGATGCCGCCGGTGCCGTGCCCTCCGAGAGCGTGGGTTTGGGGACAGCCGGGCAGAGGTGCGGCACGGAGACACCCTCCTGGCCCCCAGGGACCCTCGGGGGGCGAAGGAAACTCCCCCGAGCGCGCTCCCGACCCCCCGGGACCCGCAGCGGCTTTGGGGGACGCCGGGCGCCGCCGTGAGAGCGGGGCCGGCTCCGGGCCCTTAGGGGGGGGACACCCCAGGGCGCTGCCATCCCATTGCCGAGCCGGGCCGGGGGGGCTGAAGCTGGCGGCAGCGGGGCCGGGCCGACCCCCGTCCGGGCGGCTGTCAGTCTGGGAACGGAGCGGGGAGGTGGGGAGGGGGGGGGGGGGAGGCAAAAAGGAGGGAGGGAGGAAAAGAGGGAGGGAGGGAAGGAGAGCGCCCCGTGCCCGCCCTGCCCTCCCGTCCCCTCCCGTCCCCTCCCCGGCTTCTTACTTGTGCAGGAGCTGGGGCAGGCTGGGCGGCGGCGGCATCCCTCTGCCGGGGCCCCGGCCGGGGGCCGAGCTGCGGGCATCGCTGCGGGCATCGCTCCCCGGCCGGGCGGCGCCGCGGGGGGCCGGGGCCTGGCTCATGGCAGCGGCGGGGACCATGCGGCGGGGGGGGCGCCCGGGAGGCAAGGACGGGGGGCCCGGAGGCGGCCGCGCTCCCCCCGCCGGGCTGCAAGAGGAGGAGGAGGAGGAGGAGGAAGAGGAGGAGGAGGAGAGCCGGGAGCCCCCTGCGGCTGTGCCCGCCCTGCGGCGCCGTGCGGGGCCTCGGTGCTGCTGGCGGGGCTGGGGGCGGGCGGCGGCGCCCCCTCCCCTGGCCCGGCTCGGCCCGGCCCCCCCCGCCCCACCTGAGCCCGGCCCCTGCCGCCTCTGTCTGTCTGTCTGTCTGTCTGTCCGGCTGTGTGTCCCTCCGGCACCTGCCGGGGACCCAAAGGCAGAGCGCCCCGGGGGATTTAACACGCCCCGGTGGGGGTTTTCCTGCACCGCTTCGCTCCCCTTCCCAAACCGGGGGGGGGGGGCAAAGTGTGCACGTCGCGAGTAATCCCCCGGGGATAGCACCTCTGACAGCAATGCCATCAGCCGCCTCCCCGACACTGGGCTGTGTCAGCCGGTGTGGGGCCGGAGGGGAGGCTGTGCCCCAGCCCCGCAGCCGAAACGGGGCAGAAATTGCGGTGCTGGTATCGGCTGGGGCTGGACGTGTCCCTCCGGGTCTCCTTGTCCTGCTCAGGCTGAGCACCCTGACACCTCCTCTTGCATCGCCTCCGGGTGCCGGGCACCCTGCCCCCGGCAGACACCCACTAGGGGAAAGCAGAAATGTCCGGGATTTGGGGAAAATTTAATCTGAATTGAGGGGAAAGACAGGAGCGGGGAGGTCGGGCCCTCCTCCCCCCTGCACCTGGTGGAGTCACTTAGGAGCACGCTGCCTTGTAAATGGGCACAAAATATTGCCACCAGGGACTGGAAAATTTACAGTTCTTCGCATTCAACACGTACTTTGCCCTTAGTTCACGGATGGGAAGCACTAGCCAGGTGCAAGGCAGCAGAGAACAAGGCCATATTTCACCAGTTTCATTATTTAGGAGTAACACAACACCCAATGAACCTACTAAAGAGAAGCGGCGATCAGCACATGTGTATACACATGGATTTGCTCACACAATGCTCCGACAAATGCGTTCTGAGTAGTTTTGTAATGTCACTTGTTTTCGGGTTCAGCTAGGGCCGAGGGATGGTCAGCACGGTGTAACCAGCAGATCTTCCAGCAAAAGACAGGTACGGTCCTGCAGGCAGGTGAGGCAAGGCGTGGAATTCCCTTCTTGCCAGAGCAGCAGAGAAAGCCCTGAAGAGCCCCAGCGACAGCTCCTTCTGCTGCCTGTAATTATTTGAGGAAGTGAAAGATGGTGACTCATGGCTCGGAGGGCAGCAAGAGCACAGCTATGACACCAATGCACGGCCGTGGATTAGAAGGTGGATAGTCACAAGAACGTGTTACTTCGCACAGACAGTTATATATTACATCACTTGTAAAAATGGATCAAGTGTGTTTTACTAGCACTGCTATTCCTGCATTCAATGCATCCAGTGAAGAGCTTGGCACTCAGAGTGTTGGGTCTGGAAACTTTGCAAAGTTTTGCTCCAGTCACTCTTTAAAGTCACAGTCCTCATTCCTACATCTCTGCTCTTTGTCAAGCTTTTTTACTGTCACACCGTGGTGTTTTGTTTGGCACAAGCTGGTTTGGCAGGAGCACTTTCCCCTTGTCTCCACCTGGTCCCTACTTACCTGAACACAGCTGCACGAGGCTCCCTCGGACATGCAGGGCATTACCTCGTTGTCTTAATTGCAAATAAATGAGTGGGTGTGTTACTGTCTGAGAGCAAGCAGGGACTTACTAAGGCTAACAGGATCTTTCATGCAAGAAATCAGCACGGTTTCTGTCCAAGCCTTGCAGTATTTTGATAGCACTGGCGTAAGAGAGAGGGAGAACAGTCGCTGGACAGTATAAATGAATCATAGAATTGAACAAGTACAAAATGCTGCACAAGTGCTTCATATTTTCCTAATATGCACCACAGTTAATTATGCATGTGGAGAAAACATATCAGTAGGTTTTTACCCTCAGCTAGAGGTCCTTTCCGTACTAGCAAAACTGTCAACAAGTGGTGACTGTGGCAATGGACTGGCTTTCACCTTGCTGCTAATTAATGAAAATAAATATCTGTGATTTGAGATTAAAACTGCTGATTTTGTCAAATATGTTAATAAGCACTTATAAAAAAATAAAAAACATTGCTAGCTATTAATTTGGGCTGAGATAAAGACAATTACTGTGTCCTCGCACACGATTAAAACAAAAGCCACCTTTTACAATGCCTTTTTTGGTTTTTCGGACACAGCACTCTGCACGCTAAAACTGATCTCCTGATCCAACTGCTGCTCTAACTTGCATTGCTATAAATCAGAAGCAGCACTCTGGTGTACATGAACTCACAGTCAGACTATTTATTTTTTAGGAGGGTAGATTAACAAAGGCGTGGGTAGGAAAGAGAAAGGGGCCATAAAGTAGAAAATTGATGGAGCCAGGCACACACAGGATACGCTGTCCCCAAATAGTTCAGCGTCAAATAACAAAAATAGCTGTAACTTCATTGCCTTAAGAGCTTGATTAACTGTAGGGTTAGACAGTAGCAAGGAAACACGTCTAAGAATAAAAGATTATATCAAGTCAATGTGCCCATTAGTCTAAGTAAGACCTTTCTTTGGTTCGTGCCTGAACCTGGCTGTTTCTCTGCAACCTGCAATTTAATCCCCTGTGACTGTAACACCCTAAATGTAATCCTCTGTGAAATCAATATATAACCAACTCTCCGTTATTAGGGGAAGGGAGGCTGGGGGGAATTGGAAAATATGGATAACCCAAGTACTTCTGGGCCTTAGTTAGCTCTGGAAGAAACACGGTCCTTTCCGTAAGAGTTGGGTGCTAGCAGATAAGTCCTGCACAGCCGAGCTGGGAAGCGCAGAACCAGCTTAGGTAGCTTATTTGTGAATAAGCATAACATGGCTTATTCACAAACTGGCTAATGAAGCTAGAAATAATGGACAATAAACTCTGTTGTGTTTTTGTTTGTTTGTTTTGTTTTGTTTTGCTGTTACTACAGAAAAAATATATTTTAATTAATGTTTATAAAGTATTTTGAAGTGATTTAGACAGTGTTATGATGGTACCACAAGCAGAAATGAAAACATTAAAATACAAAAATGATTTCATGAAGAGTAAGATATTGGTTCTTAAATAGGATTGAAGTAATAGATGTATCCCGTTGCAGGAATAAAAGACTTCATCTAGGAAGAATGGTAACATCGTACTCCTTAACACACTGCAGAGGGAGGCAGGAAAGCACTCTCTTACTTGACTCCCAAAGATAATGAAGAAAAGTACCTTCAATTTCCAGAAAATGGATTAAAACCTCTTTAGACCTGACAGATTAAGATCATTAAGACATTATTTTTTTCTTAAATGACACTGAACCCTATTTTTTTCTTAAATGACACTGAACCCTATTTTCAGAGCTTGCTGTGCATCTTTGCCTGTTGTTCTCTCCAATCATTGTCTGGACAGAGAAGCTGAAGACTGCAGCAGAGCTTTCCAGTGTCTGGCTACATGAAGTCTGCCTTCTGGGTAAGTCACTGTTCATTTTTATGAGCTTTTGCTATCAGCTTCTCCTGAAAAGGGTTTTAGCCAGCACCACTTTTCACTTGTTCCTCTTCAGTGATTTTCTTTTCACGGGATGTGAATGGAAACAGGTGGCCACAACTGGCAGCTCTTTTGCCGTTACTCTTGCTTGGCTTTTTCCTGCACCTGCACGGGCTCCACTGCCCATGACTGTGTTGATTGCTGGTGATGTTCAGACACACTCAGGGTACATTTACAAAGGATCAGGTAAAATTTAGCTCAAAACTGCAAGTTGGTGCATAAGCAAACAAACAACAAGTAATCTGACATTTGAAAGCACCAGAAACAGTTTCCTAATGCTTTGAAAAGAAAATATAGGGGAGATCTAGTGTGTAAAAAATAATGGGCTACAGAGCTGATGTTTTTGTAGGTGAACAACATCACCTGAAGCATTTGCCTACACATATTAGGTTAGAAGGAGAGTAATCACCCCATGAACAATAAGAAAATGAAGCTTGTGACACGTTGAGAAAGATGACCTTGTTCCAGATCTGCAAAATGAGAAAGAACTTGTGGGCTGGACTGACCACTGAAGTGTGCCTTCAAGATTCAAGCAGATCAAGATGCAAAAAGATAACCTTTAGAGACAAGTTAGTGGACACTCAGCCATGGATAGCTGAGGCTTTTCAGCACGCCAGGGGCAGCCAGCTAATGTAAGGCGAATACTGTAGAATTTCAGTCCTGTTGCAGAACAGTGTTCAATAAATTAACATCGTCCTTTGCATTTACCGTAAAAGCTGTATGCCCCCTCAGCACCTCGAGCCAGTGACGGTGCAATCCTCAATTCACATATTGTAAATTTAGAAAAGATTGGAATGTGCAACTGATCATACCTAGGATGTTTACACATGCTGTTTGATCCCAAAATACTGGCTTATGTCATTAATGGCTTGTGTCATGCTCCTTTCTAGCTGGAGAAATGGCAAATGTTTACCATTTTAACTGCACTAGCCAACCGCTTAAAGAAAAGTGAAAAGCAAGCAAAGAAAACATAACGGGCACTGTAAACATGAAATTTAAATTTCTTTGAGGAATAACTGTGTTTTTAAAAAAATCCTTGATGCTAGTTTTGGCTCTTGAGATAACCAAAACATGCATATTAATAACCCAATTTATCTTTCCATGCCTTCGCTATAACATATTCCATTTCGTATCATGACATAACCGGTCTGTTTCCAGTCATCCTCACTTCTCATTCTCATCTAACGCAACCCAAGAAGCTTGACAGAATTTACAATATTTGCTTATTTATTTGCTTACCCCACCCCTTTTTAATGCATGTATGCTTATATAGGGGATTTATTCTTCTCATCCCTAAATCTGTAGGCAACTAATTGTTAGCACCCCTTTATTATTAATGGATATGTTCATAATTAACATATTTAGTACCGATTTTACTTCAGTCACTTTTACTTTTTTTCTTCTAATGTATTAGATTAAAAATAGTATTGAGCCCTCAAAAAGCTTTATTTTTCAGATCTTTATGTACCAAGAGAGCCCTCTGAAATTTTATATGAAGGCAACCAATTTCTAAGAGTAGAAAATAAGTAGTTCTGTACCGAAACTTTACTCATCCTATGTGACCATAACTGATTTTGGCTATATCATTGTCTAGAGATGGACCCTTATTAACCAAGCAAATGTTCATCATTCTTAGAGTCCAGGATGAATTATTCATTTCAGAATCCAAACCAAACACATCTCCACTTACAGAAGAACTTGATTCTTGCTAGTTCTTGTACAATGGCACTGATGAACATTGGCAGGAACTAAGCTGAACGTTTAAAGCATTTGTGTTTTTTTTTAAACAAGAAAGAGTGACCAGCTATCAAAAACAACAAAAACAAACAAACGCACGTATACAAAAACAAAACAAGCAAACAAAAAAAAAAATGTATTTTCTCATGAGGTATGGTCCATGTGAGTTTTGTGCTTGGCTTATATTCTCCAGTGCAAACAAAAACATTTTAAAAATTATTTTCCTGATGGAAATTTTCTCAGATCCACATACAAGAAATGTCTGGCAGCTGATGCAGCAGTCACATCTACATTTTGCTTTGGTGTCCTCAAATCCCAGTGTGTGATGGGCAATAGGACAAGGTATGTATCACCGAATGCAGCCAGGGAAAAGAGACATAACTTGTCAGAAGGCTGGTCTGGGCTAAGATGACAGACACACACGGTGTTCTGGTCTGTGGCAAACATCTATTTCTGGGGCTTCTCACTTGCAAAAGATGTTCTGCAGGACTCTGTTTCTGACAGGCCACTTGTCTGAGGCCCGCCTGCTGGTGTGACCTGCCTAAGGTGCTCTGACTCTGGGAAGGTGCAAAGCCGGGGCAGTGCAAACACCAGAGCTGCACTGCCTCCTGATGGACCAAGGGAGAGCTTTTTCCCTCTTGTCTGCTGACAAATTGCACAGCTGTGGTGTTACATGTCAGCACTTGCATTGCGGATCTCCAGAGACAAACCAGGAATGTTCTGCATGCCAGGCAGTGGCGCTGAGCCATTACATTGAGACAACCTTCTTGAGGGAACCATGGGCCCTGGGTGAACAAGACGAGTGGGGAATCCACTGATGCTCTGAGCTGCAGCCTTGTAAAAAGAGGCAGCTTACTGCAGTGAGGCTGCCTATACAGTTTAAAGAGGAAACATCTTGCAAAAACGTGCTAAATCCATACAGTGTTTGATGTATAGAAACCACGCTGATTTTGGACAACTTGCATGGTGTTGTTTGAAAGGTAAGGTAGGTGAGATTATATGTCCTTGAAGTCTAAGGTATGCTTACATCAACATTTGTGGTGATCCTGAAGTTGTTTGATGATATTTATCATCATCTGGAGAGTTTCCAGTGGAAAACATGATCTTGCTGACCTGGAATCTAACTCGGCTCCTGCGACCTATATATTCAGAGTAAGAGTCAACAGACAGATTCACATTGATACTCAATGCAGAGAAGCAAAGGGCTGGAGTTACCTGAAATGAGCTGCTCACCCTTTGAGGTCATCTTCTAAAATTAACCTTTCATTAGGATATAAACTGACTTATGGCTCTTGCTTGTTTCACTGAATTACTGATTGTTTTCCTTTTCCCAAATCCTTCCACTTTAGAAAAGATAAAAGGGAGTTTAAAGTTATTTTCCTGCTGGGAATCTGGAGAATTTCTGAGAGACTGTAGAAATAGATTTTGTAAATAATTATTTACTGAAGGAAATGAAAAATCTCAAAGCAGTCTTGAGAGACAGACAATTATGGAGAAAAAAATAACCATCACTAAGTTTAAATGGCAGATGCAGATTCATTTATTGAAACATCTGACATTTTGATGGGTTAATAACAGCAATAAATTTTTTTGATTTGATTCCTGGAGGATTTCTTTGTTACTTCTCAAGTCAGTAGGAAGTTTACTTTTTTTTGTATGTGTGTCAGCATCTTGTGAGAAAGGACATAGAAAAGGAACACCAAGGACAACTATTGGGATAAAGAGAAACGTGAATTGAGGAGAAATAACTCATGGTCACAGGTAACAGCAAAAGCTTTACCATCTCAGAAGATATTTTCAAAAGAAGACTAGTGAACCACTGTAGATAAGGCAACAGGAAGATGGATGCACAACTTCTTGGAAAACTTTTCTCACAGCTGATGTAAGTTGTTTGCGGTCAAACTGGAAGGGCGTTTGGGAACCTGCAAGGGTTACGTCCTATTCCTATATTGTTCTGTTATTTGACGGTCCAGGTAACCAAATAGATGACACACTGGAAATCTGCTTGTGGGGTAATGTGCTCTGGGCAAACGGAGGCACGGGAACTGTTTTCAGACTGAATCCCATGTTTTTCAGACTGTTTCCCTGATCTCTTCAAATCAATTCAGCAATGACAGGTGCTAAGTCCTACACTTAGGAGGGGAAAATATTGTCTGAGAAAGTACAGAATGGGAATGACTAGAGAGAGAAGCAGTTGTTTTGAATAGCACCTGTGGAATATTACAGAGGATCAAAGCTGAACATAAGTCAGCAATAACATGCTGTTGCAATGAAGGCATTCATCAGCCTGAGCTGTACAAATAGGAGTTTGCTCTGCCCATGGTGTAGTCAGCACCAAGAAAAATAAGAAAATGAGGCCTCAGTAAGAACACGACATCCAGTCTGGCAGTTGATCTTTAAGTACTAAGTGGACTGAGCAATTCAGAAAAAAGGACAGGAATAGTTAAAAGCCTACAAGAGGACAGGCACAAAAAAGGATGATGGAAATGGTATTGTTCGGTCTAGACAGGAGATGAGTGAAGACAGACGTAAAAATAACATTTAAAGAAGAATGGGATAAATTGTTTCCCGTATGCAGGGTAGAGATGATGGAAAAAAAAAAAAACAGACTTAAATTACACCCTTCAGTCAGGAAATGACCTTACCTGACAATACTTACGAAATTACTTCTGATTTCCAGAAATAGAACCATAGAATAGTTGGGGTTTGAAAGGACCTTAAAGATCACCTGGTTCCAAACCCCTTGCCACTCGACCAGGTTGCCCAAAGCCCCATCCAGCCTGGCCTTGAACACTTCTAAAAATGGGACATCTGCAGCTTCTTTGGGCAACCTGTTCCAGTGCCTCACGACCCTCATAATAAAGAATTTCTTCCTTGTGTCCAATCTAAATCTTCCTTTTGCTATGTGGGACGGTATAAAAGGTTTTGGCATTAGAATGCGAAGCCATAAAGCCAAGAAAACTCACAGTAAGCCTCCTTGAACCAAACAACACACCATCCATTTTAGACACTGAAAGCTCCTTTAGCTTTAGCAGTTTATAAGGAAATTAATTAGGTTGTATTGAGAATATGTTGACTTTTCTCTTTTTAATTAGACACCTGCAGGAGAAAAAACAATAAAATAAAATTTAAAAACAGCTTTTAAAATTATACCTTCCCTCTTCCCCCTTTCCACTTGTTTATGCCTAGAGGACTTGAAAGTTCGTGGTTTTTTTTTGTTGTTGTTGTTGTTTGGTTTTTTGTTTTGTTTTGTTTTGTTTTCCATTAAGAAGATCAATTGGGAAAAAAAAAAAAAAAAAAGAAGAAAAAAAAACTACTCCAGGTAAACTCATCAATCAGGTCATGTTGAACTTGGCCCATGAGAAAGGTAACATTTCTGAAACCATTATAATTCATCTTAATTTTTCTCAAAGTCACAGTTGTATCCTTACCCTCTCAGTTTCGAAAGAAAAGCTGAAATTTCAAGCAGTGTCAGAGACATTACAAGGAGGTTACATGCTCAAGAGCAACAAAAACTGCTCAGGACCACCCTGACACAAACGAAAGCCCAATGTTAAGAACACAGACAGGAAAGTAAGATAGACCCCGAAGGAAAAAGTTAATCCTGAATAGTTTCAGTTTGATAAAACTGTAAGTAACTACGAACAGGTTTTTAGTAAAGAGAAATGTCAGGAAAGTTTGAGCTCCTCCTCTGTCTCTTCAGAGCATGGATCTGAGCTGCATGCTCCTGTCTCCAGATGAGCGACAGCCTTCTGGGTTTCTCTTTTATTTTCACATTGAAGCTACTTTAGCTAATATAAACATGCAAAAGGCAAAGCAGCAGGATTCAATCCGTATACATCTCACCTCTCCCTGGGACTCACTTCTGGTGGTCAGGTCAGAGAGTATTTTTCCTACTCTTTGGTTTGGAATGAATATATACAGGTAAAGCAACTTATTTCAACCCCATACTAGATGGTTTTTGTGTCAAGGTGACACAAAGTGGAGTTGAATTTTGTTTTGGCCAATGACCAGAAGCAGTTTTTTGGCTGCTGCACTTGCTTCCAGGGGATCTTTTGGAACGTCTCCCGCTAAAATGTCTGTCCTTTCCTAGACACAATTACAGGACAATGTGTTATTTGGTTCACATTGTGAAAAACAACTTTCTGAATTTGTCATTAAGAAATCGAAGCAGTTCCACACCGTGGAGAAGGGACATGAAAAGGGCAGGAGATCCAACCCCTCTTCCTGTGTTCATTTTTGGAGGGCATATTATGGACTGGGACAAACAATAATAATAGTAATAATAATTAAAAGGTCCTTCGGTATGTAACCAAGACTGTGGACCTCTTTAGTATGAATAGGTGATAAACGTCTGCCCAGCATGGCTGATATTACACACCCTACCTGCTTCTGCATCAACAGCAAGCAGATAAAGCAGCCACAGACCCTTCCCAGAAAACCCAGTATCCAAATGGCACATGGGATTTGTAGCCACAAACAAGGCAGCTCATCTGATGTTGGCTGCAGCACACAAAGCTGCAGGCATCTCGTATCCCAGAGAGCTGGGAATGATGTAAGGAAATAAAATCACCGTTAATCTTTTTGCTGGCCCAGGTGCCTGAGGTTCAGTGGAATCATCACCAGAGACATGTTCAAGTTAGGCACTGAGCTCCCTAGAAATACTGTTTTGTTGGCACAGATTGTGATGTTCAAGCTGTCTATTAAACACTGCTGTCTGATAGCATTGATTTTATCCCCTCCTCCTTGACTGCATCAGGAAATCTCCTCTGCTCTGTTCTTGATGTAGGCAGGAAAAGCCAAAAGCCCTAATTAACTTTTGATTGAACTTTTAGTAACTTAAATATCTAGGGCTTGCAGCCATTAACACAGCCTGGAAGCCAACACTTGTTAGTTATGTTAAAGTAAGCTGGCACCAGCCTCACTAGAAAGCCTCAGGCAACTCAGGCAAATATCAGCAAACTTTTAGCTAGCAACAAAATCCTCTCTAAAGAGGCAATCAAAAAATGTTCAGAAAATGCTGGCTCCTTCTCCCTTTCCTTTGTGGCTAGAAGCTTGGAAAACACTGCAAAGTCTATGTTGCATTTCTGTAAAAGCTCCTTTTTCCTGGTGGTTCTTCTGCCTTATTAGTCTCATGTAAAATAAGTTTATCATCTGAACTATCTCCTGTGCTTTCACATACAACCTGGCTGAGCCATCAGTGATTCAGCTGGCAGCGATCGATACCCAGACAAGACTGAGCCTATGCTGATTGTGCCCAGAGCTGCTGACACCCATCCTGGCTTCCCAGAGCACCACTGCTGCTGCTGTTCATGCCCAGTGCCTCTGCCTGAGCAGCAACAAAGTGTTGCAGCAGAAATGCCACCCTGAATGTGGGATCCAGCAAGGACTGGCAATTACAGCAAAGGACCCTGGAGAGATATAAGGATGTACATATGTTTTAAACAGGGATGGATGGCTAAAGCCAACAAGGCACTGCCCAGCCCCTGTAGCTTGCAGAGCCTTCTTGACACCACCAAAAACACTGCCAGAGTTTATGAGAGTTGGAGCAGCTGGGAGGACCCCAGCCCAGCAGCTCTGAGGGTGCAGCACTCCCCAGGACCTTCTGTCACTTCAGAGAAGTGGCCCCAGTTACAGGGATTACAGACACCTCTGCTATTCCCCAGGCAGTTAGAAGAGACCCCTGTTCCTTAGGGAGCATCCATGGAAAGGTATGGCCAGATGACAACCCATAGTAAACGATACTATAAACTGCTTAACAGTAACATATCGTTCCACTGAGGTATCTGCTTCATTATTCCAGCTGGTGGTGAGTTTATGCTCTGAAACATGAGGATTGGTGGCCCCTGACATTTTATCCAAGCTGGTCTTACCACAGATGCTGTTCTTATAGTCATAAGTGCCTAATCCTCATTTTCAAAATGTTTTTAAATTGACTTGACATCGTCCTAGGATAGGTTAAACAGAAGTTATTATTTGTTTTACATTAGCAGCTCATAACCCACTTCTGAAAAGAGCCCTAAAGCGTGAGGCTGCCTGGACAGCCTTTCGCACTCTCCTCCCTTTGAGCAATCTCACTACAATATCTGGCCCCCGCTCTGGCTATGGCCCAGAGTGACTTGCCCTGAGCCATTCAAGAAATTTGTGGTAAATCTGGGTATTGAAACTAGCTCTCCCAAGGGCTCACCCAAAGCTTATTTAAGTCAACAGAAGTCTTTCCAATTGAATTCAATTAACTTTTGAGCAGGTTCCGAGTCTCGGGGCACTGCCTTTGCCATGACAGCATGCTTTTTATACCGCTCATTTTATACACCTATCAGATTTCTTCCAACAATTCTTTCCAAATTAAATTGCCTTAGGGTGTAAGGGAACATTTCAGAGAGATGAGGGACTGTAAGCTATCTCATTCTTATTGAAAATCAATGCGGCTTGGATACCCAACGCAAATTTGTGCCATTTAAAATGTTCCCATTAATCAATCCAGTCTGCTCCGTACTGCCTTTCCCTATTTTTCTCTTTCCTGTCAATCTCTTTTTTTTTTTTTTTTATCTTTTCTGTTGCAGAATAGGAAAATGACAGGAGATCCTAGCACAGCTGGACACTAGGCAACTCTGAGAGACTGGTACAAATGAGTACCTCAAAGAGTGCAATCCCCAAAAAAGGATTTATTAAAAACGGATGAAACTGGGTATTAGCTTAGTTGAGATGTGCTCCTCCATATTTATCCTCTGATTTCAGTAGTACATAAAAAACCTGGAGTGCTGCCATGACAAACTAGGCCTATCATTTTCCAGTGGCTTTAATATGGGTCAAAACATTTAATCAACAAATATTAATTTATTTTAGTATTCTCTGGGGAGTCCCAGGGTGACTTTAACATAGAGCTCCTTCTAGCTATTTAAACAAAGAAGAAGTGGAAGGACATCCGCTGTGATTTATTTTCTCTGGATGATCAGTGGGGAAATTGGATACGCATGACACACATTCATTTAGTCCTCACTTCCCTTTGATGATTAGGGCTGAATTTTCATTCTGGTGTATGGGGATTTGTGTGTGTCACTCCAAACAACAAGTGCCATACATCTAAGTCCAAACTTAACTTTCCAAGAGTGAAATTCAGAGATACAAAACTCTAGTGTAAGTGGTAAAAACAGAATATTATAATTACATGCAAGTAATATTTATGTTATAATGTTGAAGTCTGAGCCTGATGAAGGCTTGACTGAGTCTGTAGTTAAGATCTTTGCCCCAGCTTTTACAAGTAAAATGAAATAAAAATTATGGAAAAGATGTGGAGGTATCAACTTAATTAAACCTATAACAACTGATTAACCATTTCAAAACATCTGTTACTTGGTCCTTTGTACAGTATTGGAAATAACCTCAGTAATGAGGTGTGACCAATGGTTTTATTGTGTGAGCAGTTGCAGCCTCAGCAAAGGAAGGCTGAAGAGGCATAGCTGTAGCTCAAACTGATCTCAGTGAAATGCTAGGTCTTTGTAGCCAAACTAAGGAAATTAATTTGTTTTTAGCCTTTATTTATTAATGTAACTTTTTTTCTTTTCTTTTTTTTTTTTTTTTTTAGAGACTATGATTGGATAGAAACGTGAGCAACTGTTTTTCAGAAAAAGCCCTTTTGTCCTTCCAAGACTACCAGACATTAACTAGCAGAAATGAGTTCTCCAAGCAAAAGCTAATGGAAGGATGAAATAAAGCTTTGTAATGGATTATGAAGCTTTGCAATTGCTGCTGGCAACCCCAGCGGTGATTTGAAAGGCTACTACTCTGGCGTAATATTTTCCAGTTTTCATGTAGTCCCAATGTTAAGTGATACAAGCAATAAAGCTCCCCCTTCCCTTCCCCTGTAAGACTATTCCATACATCACATTGTGAGCAAGTTTTATTTTTGGACTGTGATGAACATCTCACAGGATCAGGCCAGTAGCAAGGCCGCGAGCACGTGGTAGCGACAGCATCACATGGACTCAGAAACAACTGCCTTCTACCACTGCAGCGCTTGGCACACTCATTGAAACGACCTCAGAATTAAAACCAAAACAACCACCCAAGTAAAACTGTACTGTCTGACGGCAGTACAAAACCCAAAGAAATATAATCTTGACTAAATAATCACCCTGCACTCAGATACTAAACATCTGGTGGATCTATTTTAAAAATAGACATGTGTCACCCCCTGACAGGTCTCGGCACTAGAGTGGGGATTCGGTCCCAAGGAATCAGATATGAGTGTTCACACACACACACAGTTAAGAGAATGGGAAAGACTGACCTTGAACGTTTCTGGCAAAAGATAAGTGGTAACAGCAAGCAGTCGAAGCTGTACTTCTAGGAGGCAGCAACCTCAGAACTGCTTCTGCTCCATTTGCAGGTAACCATCCTTGGGCCATCTCAGGAGGGGGTGCTAGTACACTCGGTATCTGAAACACCTCAGTCTTCCATATATATATGTTTACACAGAAATCTGGAGAAAGATTAAAAAAATCGAAATGTAATTCTTTGTTACCCATGGTTTATATCTGTCCACTTAAGAAAACAGAACAATTCCAAGCTGGAACAATGCTGTGGCTCCTTTTCAACTCAGCAGCTTAAAACAAAATGCTTGAGGGAAGTAAGATAAGAGCAGAGGTTTTAAATAGGCAATGTCATGCATTAGGGGTGAAACTGAGAAAACATTATCTTCTCTCACTCCTCAGCAGAGTTCAAATTTCTTTATTTCAGGCGTTAGTGTTACAAAACCTTTGCAAGGGAAGCTCCAGAGAACCTCTGTGCCAACAGGAGGCCTGGAGTGCCATACACCGAGAAAACATAAGTCCGATAATCCTCACAAAAAATTTCCATGCTGGAGCATTTAATATTGTAATTTCCAGCACACATGGATAAACCCCTGCTGGAAGGATAACACAAAACAAAACATTCCCACTGGACAGGCTGTTTCAGCTCTGATTCCACATAATAGATTGCATAATACACTTGGGGAAGTTGTTTTTTCAGCATCTTCACTGAATATTCCAGAAGAATTTAAGCAGAAACCCTAATAATAACAGCACCCAGTGCACAAAGGCAAGAGATGGGCAGGCCTACAAATTCACAACAAACACACTGTCGAGTTGGAATTCTTCCTCTCAGGCTTTCCTCAAACCATCTTTTCCCTCTCACCTCTCCCAAATAGTTTTCTTGACAGGCTAGACAGAAGGTGAGTGACCTTTTCCCCTGACTTTCGCTGCTATAAATGTGACTCCTTTAAATAAACAATAAATGACTAGTCTTAAAACATATTGAAATCATCTATGATAAAATTTTTCATTAGGGCACAGCTTCTGGTGCTATTATAGAGATGTTGATATTGGTGGAAAGTTTAAAACAAACAGAACACACAATTCCCAAATCCGTAAGTCATCTCAGATATACATCAACAAGGATCCCGTCAATGAACATGATTTATGAACATAGATACTGTTAAAACCTTACCATAGAGAGCTATTAACCCCCACGAGTTTATTCAGGTTTCAAAATTATTTTTAAAACATCTGAGCTTTTAGGTCATAGAGTATATATGAAATTTTTGAAACAATTTTGGACATTTAACAACCAGATATTTAACATCCTATACAGTTTTTTTTCTGATTTCTTAGCCTCTCTCTCTCTCTTTTTTTTTTTTTTTTTTTTCTTCTGCAAATCCTACAGTTAGATGGGTAAACCAGCATGTTTTGTATGGATTATTGCACTGGTAGGGGTTGAAAGTGCTTGGCCTACAGCCTTGTATCTCATTGCATGCCCAAGACCTCTGATAATCCTTCAGAAATACAGTGTCTTGAATCTTGTTGCTTCATTGGAGGCATAGTTTCTCTGTCTGCTTTCCAAAAATCTTTCAAGGCATCTAGTAGCTGCACTGTAGGCCACTCAAATCACAGGTGGTGAAGGACCGATAAACCAGCCTTAAGAAAACTTATGCATGTTTGTCTGCAGCTTTCTGGTTTTTGACTGCAATTACTTTCCTTCTTTGGGGTCCTTTTTCCCAATGCCTATGACCAAATCAACATATAGAAGTTAAAGAAGGGCTGAACTTTCCATAGAACATTAATGAGTTATTAGCATTCAGACACTTCCACAGCGTCAGTCTCTGCTCCTTCACCTTGCGTCCACACCTGATTCTACAGAAAGCACATTTTCCCTAACTTCTTAATTTTTTTAAGTAATTGTTAAAATATTTCAATACCATTTTTCCAAAGATCAGTAATGGTAGACTGTAGATCAAGTCTGTAAATGGTATATAATTGATTTCCTAAGCAAAAATGATTAAATTTCTCACATCTCTGTGGATTTAAACTGGAAAATGATAGGGAAGCATCCTGAAGAATTTAACTCAAAACTGACTAGTTATAAAACATATTTCAATTTCTTACAGAAACCTCATATTACTGCTCTCTCTATATAAATCTGACCAAAAGATGAGACAAAATGAGAGATCAGCTCTTGTGGTAGAGAGAACCTGCCATTAGAAAGGTCTTTGGAAACAGGCACGTTTTAGCAAATCTCTGACCCAGCTCACACTTAGGTCTCTCATTCCTGAATGAACACTTGAAATACTGTTTTTCTCAATTCTGTTCTCAAAAATGGGATTTTAATTTTCCTAGATTCCAAGTTCACAGAGAGAAAACTCAAAGAGAGAAATAGATATTTTCAAGGTTTATTAAAAAAAAAAAAAAAAGCCATGAAAAGTATTTTTCCAGCTCTTTGTTAGGACAGGATTGTTTGCGTATTTCTCATCTGAGTGGTTTTAAGTAAGATAATCTATTTTCAATTGAGAATTCATTTAATTAATTGCAACAGTGTAATTACTACTGCAAAAATCAAGCTCCAACATTTCTGAGCCTGTAACACGTGTAGCACAGACAGTGGAATTAACTTACTGTGTATCCCAGAAAGTTCAACTTACATCTCTGTCACAGTTCACAGCTCCAGCTTTTATACCCTTATCCAGGCATAATGCCACTCTCTTTTGCAGTAAAGTGACATGAAGGCAGCTGTTAGCATGATAGCCACATGTGACAATTTCCAATAAATTTCAAAATTAAATAAGCCCCTTTCCAGTGATTCTTTGATGTCATTTAATTTTCTGCCAGTTGGTAAAGTCAGAGACAGAAGTCTCAAAGTAATCTGAATTTTATGGTTCCCAACTTCAATCCCCTGCAAGGAGCAAACCATTTTCTGCTTCAGTCTTTGAGGGCTTATTAAGACAGAGGAACTATTATAACAACAATGAAGAGAATGTCTGCTTTTTGTGTCAACTCATAAGCCTGTCTCAGTTGTCGAAAACGGAGAACCCTTATGCTGTGGTATACACCCAGAACTGAACAAAAGCCACCCAATCTCACAGACTCATTAACACTTCAAGAACAAGAATAATATTGTGTTTTCCTAGGTTACTCCTTACTGAGAACCACTCTGTAAAAGTTTTTTTTTAAGTTAAATCCGAGCAGAAGGAACTGAGGCTAGTTTTGTGCTGCTTTTATTTAGAGGACCAAAGCTCCCCCATGGCAGATTTACTCACTCTATGCTACAAGTGCCTCTGAACGTATGCTTTGTGCCATGTGTTAGGAGGTAGAATGGCACTCAACTCACAGTGCAGTTCATTTGTGTGCCAAGGTGGGCAAGCACATGGACTCGCTTGCCTTTGACCACTCTTAGCCACTCTAAGGCCAGCCTTTCAGTGCAGTATAGACAAGGCCTCACCTCAGAGCAGGAATCTCACCTGCCAGTAGGCAACTACAGCTGAGTCTAGGCAGGCTCTGATCCTTAAAGGCAGATGGCCTCTTCTGAAGGGCTGAGAGCTGGTATTTCTGTTTGTGGTTATCATCCTTCAGCATCCTTCAGCTGCTTCACCTTCAGACAGGACTGCTTGGACTTACAGGACAAACCTCCGAATTCTGCAGCCAAAACAGGTGCAAAAACACATACGTGAAATCAGCCAAGTGAAAAAGAAAGATTAAATCTAATGGCCCTTTGAAGCTAAATAATATTGTGCATAAAATTTACATAGCACCACTCCTAATTTTTCCTTGTCAGAGGTAACCCCGATTTACTTCCACAGGAGCATTACCTTTTCCCAGACATCCTACACCTGCTCTGTTGTCAGATGCTGTGTTTTGCTTTCCATGGGTGGGAATTTCCCCTTGTTCTTCATTGCTGGTCTACTCCATTAAATCTCATTCCATCATCCCTTCCTCTAGCTCAGTATCATCTCTTCCTAAAATGTTAATGCAAATCTCATGATACTCTGTAGCATCTTATAGCCCTATATGATGGAGGCATATCCCTGCAGGAGAATTCCAGGTTTTAATTAAAAAGAAGTTCCTGTGTACACACAACTGCTTTGCAGTATGGTTTGCATGCAACTTTAAAGGCTTAAACAGAGGCTGCAAACAAAAAGAACACATGGTCTTCTGTTTAAAACAAAAACAAAAAGCTCCATAGTCTTATTTTTTCATTATTTTTTAATAAACTTGACTCATCATTTTGTAACACAACTGGCAAAACTGCTAAAATCCCTTCCCTGTGGAATGGCACACATATCCCTGTGATGCCTGCCAACAACAGTAAATAAGTCTGCCAGTCTTGCACTCGTGCTAAAGACCTAGACGTTTACAAAAAGCTTCTCAAAGATTCCCCAAGTGCTAACAGAGATCTTTACCACTGCAAG